CTCTGCCCACTCTGCTCCCCTTTATAGTAAACTCCCTGAAAGGGTTTCCAACACCTTGCTTCGCATTCTCTCTCTAACCCCTCCACTACCCCGCCAAACCTGATCTTCACAAAGCCAATGGTCAGTGTGTCCTCACCTCACTGTTAGCGCGTAATATACGTGATTTCCCCTGGAAACACTTCCTTCGCTTGGCGTCTAGAACACTATGCTCCTCCTCCTTCCCTGGCTTTTGTCCTCAGTTTCCTTTGCTACCTCATTCTCATCAACACCCCACCACCACCACCACCATCTCCAAACACTAGAAATTTCCAGGACTCAGTCTTGGGTCTCTTCTAATCAAAACACATGGTTTTATACCACACATAAATGCGTTACTCCCAAATTTATATCTCTAGTCCAGACACTGTGAGCTCCAACTGCCTACTTGACATCTCCATTTGAATATCTAATAGGCATCTCAGTATGTCCAAACTAATCTCTCAATAGTATCCCTCAAGACTTGCTCCCCACAAGGTCTTTTCTATCCTAGTAAATGCAGCTCCATTTTGTTACTTGCTCAAAACCTTGCCGTCATCCCTGACTCCTCTCTCTCCCCCCCGTTTCCAACCCATCAGGAAACCCTTTTAAACTATTGATACTTTCAAGATATATGCACAATCTGACACTTCTCATTATCTCTACTGTTACTACCTTGGACCAAGCCATCATCACCTGGATTGGTGCAAAAGCCTCCTAAGTGGGTGGCTTGTTTCTAATCTTAACCTCCTCAATCTAATGTGACCCTTTTAAAATCTTAGGTCATGTCACTTCTCTGCTCCAATGGGAAGTGGAGACCTTCCAGTGGCTTCCCATGGCTTCCCATCTGTATTAGTTAAGGTAATGCTACCTCTGTAAGAGATAAACCCCGATATATCAATGGCATAAAATAACCAACAGAAGTTCATTTCTCACACACAGAAAAGTCCAAAACGGGTGTTCCTGTTCATGGAGTGGCTCTTTGACAGGACCCTGGGCTCCTTCTATCTTGTGACTTGCTGTCTGCACTACCCAGTTTCCAGGGTTGCCACAGAAAGAGAAAGAGCTTGGAGAATGGCATGTGGCAGGTTTGCATGGCCAGTACTGGAAATAGTGGACCTCATTTCTGCCTGTCTTCCCTTGGCCAGAGCTCAGTCACGTGGCCTTGCTGTAAGGGGGCTGGGAAATGTAGTCTAGCCGTGTCACAGGATGAAGAAGAAACAGTTTGGTAAATAATTAGCCAGGCTCTTCTACATCACTTCACTCATAGTAGCAGCTAAAGTCCTTACAATGGCCTAAAGGCCCTGCATGGTGCCCCTCTCCCCTTTACCGCCACCCCTGCTGCTAGCTCCCTGACCTCATGTCCTCCACTCTCCTCGATTACTGTACCCAGCCACCCTGACTTCCTGCTGCTGCTCAAACACTCCAGCAGGCTTCAGCTCAGGGCCTCTGCCCTTTGCTGTTCCCTTTCCCCGGGATGTTCTTCACGACCTTCAGATGTTCACTCACGTGTCATCCTCTTCATAAGCCGGCCCTAGCCACCCTCTCAAAGACTGCAACGCCACCGCTGACAGTCCTGACACCCACTCTTCTCCTTCCCTGCCTTGTATTATTCCGTGGTACCTATCACCACTTCTCATTCTCTATATTTTGCTTTTTTATCTTGGTTATTGGCCGCATACCAGAACATGAGCACCATGAGACAGTTTGTTCCACTGTGTTCACTGCTGTATCCCCAGTGCCTAGAACAGTGTCTTGCACACAGGAAACAATACGTTCATTTGTGGAGTGAATGTTCAGTAGCACCTCATGAGCAGAGTTGGGATGCTTGCAGAACACCGTCAGCCTTTTGAGGCTGACATCACGATACCTGCCATAAACAGTCCTTCAGTGCTTCTCTCAGAGACAGAATCCACAGTTAGATGGGCCTTTGATACAGCTATGGTGACACCTCTTATGTGTGTCAGCCCTCATGTCCTTTTCCTCCTCTGCTTTCCTTCTAACTCTTGGGCTCCCATGAGGCCTAATCCGTTTTTCTCTCCTCAGAAAGCTCATGTGTTCTCATGGCTCCACCAGCTGCTGCCTGGCCAGTGACCCTAAGTATCTCCTCCAGCCTATTGGTTCTTTCTTTTTCGATGTTCTGCCATCACCTTAACTCATCATGTCTTGAACTCAACTCAGTTCCCCCGTCTTCCACTCATCTAGCTCGTTCTCCCCGTTTCCTGTGATTTTTCAGCTTTAAATTTTTGAGTGCACCTTCATTTCCTTCTTCCAAGGCGTCACTGAGTCCAGGAAATTGTCGTTCCCACTTTTTAAAATTCTCTTGTATAGAAGTGTTCATTTGCATTTCTCTTGCTTTGCCTAGGCCAAGCCCTCATCCACAGGGAATCTCAGGGTTGACAGGCCCCATCTCTGGCAGAGTCCCACTAGCTTATCCAGCCTCTTCTAGGACACTTCCAGGATGGTGGCTCTCCCACTAGGCTGCAGGTCCTTGAGGGCAGGGACCGTGTCCTATTCTTTGTGGGTTCACCAGCACCTAGTGCAGTGCCTGACTTTGAGGAGGCATTTTCAAAACAGTTTTTAAAATATCTCCTGATGCAACCTATTCTATTATAGTTAACCCCTATTAGGAGATGCACCTCCCTGAAAGAGCACTTTCAACCTCATTCCATCTGCCACAAAGGTACAAGCTTAGAAACCTTCAGAAGAAGACCCACAATTCCCACTGCCTTCAGCTCAGGCTCCTCAGAGCTCAGACTCCCCCCTTTCCCCCCCTTTCCCCCCTTCCCCCCTTCCCCC